GATTTCACGTAATCTGCGAATTGTGAATTTGGTAGGTCTCTATCCGTAAGTCAGAGTAAGATATCCATTCTTCTGAAGGTAAGAAGGGCCAGGCCACACATCCATCTCTTCCTCTTTAAAGACACATCCATAAACACACAAGAGGGAAAAGGCAAAGTGTAGGCTAGCCCTCTTGGAAACCACAAGAAACTCCAAAGAGGAGGAATTCTTGTTGAATTGCTGAATTATTCTGGGTATGGTGAGAGACAGTGGCTTTGTAAAAGATGGTGGCCAAGGGTTTTTGTCTCTCACTTCTATTCATGATATGGTTCCTCTTTGTAGTTTTTTGTAATGTAATATGACATGTCAAGTTGACTTTAGGACTAGCAGAAAATGGGTGTAATGTAATAACTCAGCTACTTTTGGTAAGGTGATATTTATTAGCTTGCCACAGTTTTAGAAGATAGGCTGGGCATGAAAAAATGGCCAATTACTTGATAACATGCACTGCATAACAATCGATGCAGCACATGTATAAGAACTAACAATTTTCACAAGGTTGTAGATAATTTGTACTTCTTTATTTTATTGTATTGCTGCTAAATTATAAGAGATCCCTTCTCCTGAAACCCAGTCTATTTAGTTAAACCAAGAGAAAGTTTAGGGATGACTTAATCATATTCTATAAATATCAATGTAGGGAAGCAGAAATCTGATAATAGTTGGTTCTTCAGTCCAAGAGTTACAAGATAATAAGATCCAGTAGCTGGAAGCTGAGGTGAGACAAATTCAGATAAGAAATAAAGCACAAGTTAAGTGAAGTTTGTTAATCACTGAAACAAGTTATTAGGTTTGTAGTGGGTTGTCCATTACTGACAGATTTTAAATGAAGGCTTGATATTTTTCTAGTGATTATGCTGTAGTTCAAACAGGAATCATTTCAGGGATGTCCTGTTGCCTGTGTTATCCAGGAAGTCACAGTGGTTCTTTCTTATCTGTGAATTCCTTCTAGTGGCAGTCTGCCATCCGAAGGCCTTCTACAGACATTCAGAAAACTATACAGGGGTGCAGACAGAAGTGAAAGTTTTTGCCCAATCTGGCCACAGAAAGCAGTTTAGAGCTGTGAGCAAATACAGCTGCATGACTGCAGACAGCTTAATAATGGCAGATTGGGTGAGAATCTGACCTTCCATTGCATGAGGTATCAGATGAAGACATTTCAAAATGTAGCGTCTTTTGTAAGTTGTGTCTGCGGAGCTCCCAGCCTGTTGCTGTTTTCAGAATGGGAGGAGGGAAAGGGAGTGGAGGGCATTCAGTCTGGACTTTCCTCAGCCCCCCTGGAGGGTGGAGTGTATTGGAGCCCGCTCCTGAGGTGAGGGGGCTCCAATTCACCCACCCCACCCTTCAGCACCAGCTAGGGAGCCCCAAGAATGAGCTCCCTCTGCTGCCTTTCCCCCCTTCCATTCTGAAAACAGTGAGCACTAGCACATAGCCATGGCTGTTGCAATGGGAACCTGGCTGCAGGTTCCCAGCCCACAGCTAGATTCCCCTCCCCCCTGGAACCAACACTGAACTTCTGTCTGGTCTGGGGTAACACTGTAACTCAGAATGCTTTGCAGAAAATGTTCCGAGTTATAGCTGGGTGCTGCACTTCTGCCTGCACCCCAGAGGTTCAGGCTTTTTTTCCAAGTTTAAAAATGGCTTCTCCAGGAGAAGCCTGGGAATAACCAGGGTTACATCATTTCCTGAGAGTTTCTCCTGGGAGAGCAAATATCTGTATATACTGTTGGATAAGTTTTTCTACCAGGAGAACAAACCTGGAAGAATTTGCCTAGGTTATTTGAATGTGTTCTCACTCCCAAGTCTTCTCGTTTGCTTATTCAAATTGTTTAAGTTTTGTTAAATGAAAACAAGAAAAACAATCTGAACATTCTAGTTCCCTGGTGCTGAAGCCCCATCTTCCAGGTGAACAGTTTATCAACCACAAACTGACAGTTCCAGCAGTTTTTTTGCATCTCAGAATGGTCCACTGGGCTGCTGCTGTTGTGTAAGCCTAGTAGAAAAATCACTTCCAAACATCGCACCTGGATCTGGCATGGCTGGGGCTTTCTAGGCAAATGCAGATGTCCTAAAATAAATCAGTACGTAGATAATATAAGGCAAGCATTGAGGTATAAAGAATAAGAGCATATTCAATTGTGATAGACATTTCTTAACTGTATTCAAAGGTAGATTAGGATCATATTAGGGGAGGGGTAGAGAACATTGGCTCTGGGTGCCAAGATGGGAGGGCACGAGAATTGTCCCTAGCCCCATGCAGTCCGCACCCCGACAGCATTGCCATGATGGGAACTCTAAAACAATTCCTGGCTACTGCTGCTTTATGAGCAACAGCCGGGCAAGGCAGCAGCAGCTCAGCTGGAACTGTAGAAGTCCTGTCATGAGTGAGGTTGCTGCCCCCTCCCTGCTTTCACCGCTTCCCCCCCCCCCCTTAGAAACTGTGCTCTTAGAACCAAAGCCCCCAACCCGTACTCCATTCTCAGAGCTGCATGCCAGCCCTCCCCGCCACACCACCCCGTCTTTTCTGCAGGATTTGACCCAAGCACTAATTCTATAACACCACTGTGATGGATACATATTTTGATGATCTGTTGGAGGATTTTTTAATATGCATTCAGAAATAGTAAAATAAAAATAGACTGCCCCAGAATCATAACATTAAGGGTGGGAGTGAGAAGCTCCAGAAAGATATATAAGGTGTTCCTTCTTTCCTCCCTTCATGGAGTTACGCTGTCTTTGCTTAGTGGAAGATGGAGGAAGAACAGATGCAGTGACTGTGGGTGGCTTGCCATTGCCTGGAGTTAGAGACCTGTGCTAAGCGCAAGATATTTCTGCAGCTCAGAAAAGCAGTAACTCAAATGCAAATCAGAACTGCAGGCAAGATACTGCAGTCTGACAGATTCATCCAGCAATGGTCCAAGCCAAAGATCCTGGGGTTTTCCCAGTGAGTCATCAACTGGCTTTTGCAGTGGCAGATGCTCTCAGATTAACTCCTAGAAGCAAGACATAATTTAGTAGGATTTTTAATGAAACTAATGCTACTTCTAATCACTTCACTTTTGAAGACTTGAATCAAATCTTGAAGGGAAAAAAACAGATACTTTGCTGTTTAAACAACATACACTGAAATGTTATAATTTATCCAGCTGGCACATTCACAGTTGATAACTCATGTGGATATCTTGAGAAGCATTACAAGGCTTGTAGGAAGCTTGAGTGAGAATTCTTTCCCCTTAAATCCTTATGTATTTTAATTAACTTTAGAAAATAAAGAAATAATGGGGATGGTAGAAATGCTGGAGATCTGGGAATTTTTAAATTACATGATCTGTACCCCAGTTAGGGTTCTGACTAAATCTAAATTACAATTGTTGGAGAGCGTGTCCTCAGTTTCCAAGACTAGTGGAAGTCAATAGTCAACATCAACACTAGAGAACAGGAAGCAATTAGCTTCAGAAGTGCTCTATTCTGAAGAAATATCCCTGTAATAATATTATACAACTCGCCTATATAGCCAACAAATGTTTAATAAAGCAGCCAGTATAAAGTATGTTTTGGTCACCACTTTAGTTTGAGTTTATGTGCTTCAGCTTATTTTGTAAGGGACTGCAGACAAGGATTGTCTCTCACTTCTGTATTCATGATACAAGTCTTCTTTGTTATTTTTTAGTATAACATGTCATGTTCATGTTAGCGCCAGTAGAAAATGGGTGTAATGCTGTAACTCAGCTACTTTTGCTTATGTTAGATTTATTATCTGAACACAATTTTAGAAGGTAAGCTGGGCATGAAAGAGTGATTGATTAGTTGATAATATGTATTGCATAAAAATCAATGCAGCCCATGTATAAGAATGAACATGCTGCTGGGAGAGACAAATGTACTGGACAACCTGATTTTTCAATTGCAAGTGATACACATCTAGGAGCCGGTTAGTCAGCAGAGCATGCCTACTCACATATTTTGGAGATACTGTACTTGGTTTTGCAGACAATAGGACTAGGTTCCATCTTGAGATATGCATGGTCCTGTTTCAAGCAGGAGATGAAAATCAGTGGTGAAATAATTATCATCAGAAAGTTGCAGTGAAAATATGGATTTTCACTGCAACCCACAGATTTTTCACTTGAGATAACTGTTGTAATGTGTCTAACAGACCTAAGGTGTAGAACTGAATGACCAAAACAACCATAGACTATGTGCCCAAAAGATGAACAAACCAGCTCTCCAAACCCTGGTTTTTAAATAGTATTTGGATCCTATGATACCTATAAGCAGTGTTCATTCACTTATAATCTAAAGCAATCTGCAACAGGATGATGTTGCTGCATAAAAATACTGTAAAACTGTTAGTTATAAATATAATACAGCTTGGAGATACAGTCTGACAATATTTTGAGCCCAGCATGAAATGCTATATCTCTTTCAGAGGGAATCTGCTTTATTAGATTTGGGAAGTGCTGGGACTAAAATATGGAGCTGGTTGTAAAGCAGAGCAGATACTGGCTAAATGAACAAGCCTGATGCTGTCTTATAACCCCAAAGAGTCCATCCTTTGTCTTTACTGAGGACATGGATACACACAATTCTCAGAACTGTTTAAATGTGGTTTAAACCTGAAGCAGACAGACATACAACCCTGTTAAATCAGTTTAAATTTTTCTGAGATGATTCAGAAGTGTACCCAGAAAAATCAAGTACTGTTTTGAACTGTTTTATTGTGAACTGGTTCAGTATTATGTGTGGACACCAAGCATTCGATAACACAGGTCTGGTCGGTCTTCCAGGAACATATAAATAGAGAAACCACATGTGTTTAAGATATAAAATTTTAGCTTAGAAATATTTGACATTCTTCCTGAGCTTTGAGTAGAAAAAATATACACAAGTACCCTCAGGGTTGTAACACTGTCATAGTGATGATGGACAAGCTCTGATGCATTGGTTTTGATTTCTCTTAGATAAAGAAGAGGCAGCAAGATGTGGTGCGATTTCTGGAAGCCAACAGGATAGAGTTTGAAGAGGTGGATATCACAATGTCGGAGGAACAAAGACAATGGATGTATAAGAATATCCCACAGGACAGACTGCCTTCACAGGGCAATCCGTTGCCACCCCAGATCTTTAGTGATGATCAGTACTGTGGAGTAAGTGGTTTCATGGTCTTGACTGAATACATTATTAATGTTGAATTTTTTTTTTAAATTACATTTGCCATTATATATCAGGAAGTACTATCTGAGATACCTTGGCTTGAGAGAGCTCTGATTAATGTCTGTGTAGTGGAAGTCCCTATAAATATTTA